CCTGGTGCATGGGGTTATTCCTCCCCAGGTGCACGACCCTGCCTTTGCTTTTGCTGAATTTTCCTCTCTGCCCATCTCTCCAGCCTGTCCAGGTGCCTCTGAAGGGCAGCACAGCCCTCTGGGGTATCAGCCACTCCCCCCAGTTTTGTATCATCAGCAAACTTGCTGAGGAGGCACTCTGCCCCTTCATTGATGACTAAGTTAGTTAAACAATAGTGGACCCAGTAGTGACCCCTGGGGGACACCACTAGCCACAGGCCTCCAACTAGACTCTGCGCTGCTGACCACAACCCTCTGAGCTCTGCCACTCAGCCAGTCCTCAATCCACCTCACTGTCTGCTTCTGCTCCTCCAGCCCTCCCTTCCTGAGCTTGCCCATGAGGATGCTATGGGAGACAGTGTCCAAAGCCTTGCTGAAATCAGGGTAGACAACATCCACTGCTCTGCCCTCATCTACCCAGCCAGTCAGTCCATCAGAGAAGGCTATCAGGTTGGTCAAGCGTGATTTCCCCCTGGTGAATCCATGCTGACTACTCCTGATCACCTTCTTGTCCTCCAGATGCTTAGAGATGGCCTCCAGGATGAGCTGTTCCATCACCACTAAAGTGGTCCCTTTTCTCATGTGCTGGCTCATTTGAAAGAGACGGATTTCTTTAACTAGGATTTATATCATTATTTCAAACTGAAATAATTGTCAGCACAGGGTAGAACAGGGGCTGGTGGGGGTCCACGTTGCTCCGTGGGGAGCTGTTGGAACCATAATCGTATTCCATGCCCTTTGACAGGAGTAGGAGAACACTTAAATTTAGGTGAGACTTTTGTGAAAGCAGTTGCCTGCCAATAGCAGAGACTGAACTTCATGACCCAGGAAAAGTTGAAAAGATCGATGTTCTAGTGTTTTTATATAAAGACTGTGCTGTCTGTGACCAGGATGCTGATTCTTTGCATCAGTACGCCCAGTCTTTTTAAGCCAATGAAGACAAGAATGTGGGGTTTGTCCTTCTGCCTCCAAGGAGGAGATAGCCTTTCGCTCTAATGAACTCGTGGGCTGTCCTTGCCAGTGAGACAGTTGTTGGCTCCTGTCCCAGGACAAACCTCTTTGGCCGCAAGATTCTTATCTGTTTTCTTCAGCACTTCGCTTCTGATTCTTTGAGTTTACTAGCACAGATTTAATAGCACAGCGATGTTTTCTCACATCCCTTAGCATCACAGCAGTGCTGATTAGGAAGGACCTTGTAAGGTTATTTAGTCCAGTCTCTCACTTGGAGCGACTATTGCAAACATGAGATCGGGTCAGCCCTGGCTTGTCTGGCCGAGTCTTGGAAACCTCCAGAGATGTAGATTGCACAGCCTGCTCCAGTGCTGCATGGCCTGCCGAGTGAAAATGTGCTCCTTATGTCCAACCTGGATAGCCACAAGCGGTGGTCTTTGCCCCCTCTTGCATCATCTGGTACTGCCAAGAAAAAATTGGCTCTCTTATCTTTGTAACTACCCTTCAAATAATTGTCCTTCTCCCATAGATCCACAGTCTCCAGCGAAGACTTATGTTCCATATAGAATTACACTCCGTAGGCAGTGACTGTAGACCAACACATAAACTGTATACCTACTTCCAAACAAGGGACCCTCACAGAGGCCCTTCTGCTGCCCCTTCTTTCTTCAAAGCTGCTTCCTGTTTTGTTGTTGTTGTTGTTGTTGTTTTGGTGATCTGTAATCCTCTCCTCTCACCTGGCTTCTCAGAGTCCGTAAGGTAGCAGTTGATTTGTTTTTTAAGTGACCCTCAGCTTAAACCTCCCTAAAGATACCCTGTTGTAGTTTCTAGGATTCACAAGTGAGGAAGCTGTGTTTTTGCACTCATGCAAGGAATAATTACAGTTTGGTCTTTAAAATACCTTAGCTTTGTGTATTTAAAGTCTATCTGAATGTCTCCCTTCCATCTTCTCTCCATGTTATAGTCCACAAAGTACTCAAGGAAAACATTTAAATACAAGCTTTAAATTCTGATGCATCTGAATAACAGTAATTTATCCACGAAAAGTTTTCCTAAGCTATCAGTTCCATCTCTCTCACAATACAAAATTTATTACATTTTATAGCATAAATCACTCAGATTTGTTGATTTAAATGCTATCATTTGCGCAGAGTATTATTTCTGGTTTTAACTTCATAGACTTCAATGAAGTTACACAATGCTTCTTTTTTGCCAGTTGTTTATTTCAAAACATTGGGAATAAAGTTTCTTGGATGCTGATTGCATTACATCAGCTTTCTCACAGAAAAGTTTTTTTTTTTAGCGTCCCAGATCAATTTAAAGACTAGGACAAATATAGCACTCATCAAATGCCATTTATCTGAGAAACAGAGTGATAAGATTGGCACCGTGATGTTATGTGTCTGAAGTTGTATCTTTTAGCAGCTAGGACACAGGACCAGGATTCAGGAAGTCATTTTGCAAACATAAAATTAAGCACTTAACTGTTCTGTGCCTCATATTTTCCATCCATAAAATGGAGACAGTCATAGCTCCTTCTTTTGAAAAGCACTTTCTTTAAATATCTATGATTATCATTATTACTGTTGACAGTGGTATCAACTCTGTTCTGAATGGGTTATAATTAGAATGTTTAGATGAATGAAAGTAATTGCAGAGCCCTTATGCTGCAAACATTTAAGCCTGTGATTAATTTTACGTACGTAAGTAATCTCTGACTGCAGTGAACCTACTCGCATAAATGAAGTTAAGCATATTTGAAGTGTTTGCAGGATCAGGACTGGAAGGCCCTCAGATACCTTAGTTCTTAAATAGAAATAAATAATAAGAGACTACTCAGGGAAATTTCTGGGAAAATTATTTTAACAGTATGCTACTGCATGTTGTAGAATGAGTCCTGATATGTTTCACAAAACTCAGTGTTACAGCCATTGATGATAAATACCGGCTTTGATATCATTCAGTTTATTTTTGTGGAAAAATAATCCTTCTTTGTATTTTGGCTACAGCCCAAAAGCTTATTGTTAAATACATTTTGTTAATAAGAAGCTTGACTCAGGGCAGACTCCACTGTGAGTGACTGATTATTAGGGATATCAAATCGACCTATTTCTGTGTGCCCATTCGACTGCCAGAAGAGCTATCATTAGAGCTTGTTGAAAAAATGGATTTGTTTTATTCAGAAGAAATAGTTTCTGTTTTTACATTGAATGGGTTTTGTTTTCTGTATGATGTTTAGCTAGCTACTGAGCTTTTCTCAACACGGGGGAAAAAGTCTTATGAACGTATGCTGAAAAAAGTTTTTCAGTAGAAGTTAAAAACTACAAAACCATACATGCACGCCAGATATACTTTGTGAGTAGACTGTTCTAGCCTCGGTATGTGGGATATTGAACAGAAATGAAGTACAGATGAGGCCTGGCTTGTCAGTGCAGGATGCATGAAAATGTCCTTATCTGGATTCTGAAACAGAAAAAACATAGACCAACCGCAGTCTTCTGCATTCTGATAATGAAACTGTTTAGCTGTCATATACTATATAATTTTTCTCTCCTCCTTCCTTCAGTTACCTTTGATTTTCTTGTTTATACAGTTGATGGATTGGATAAGGCTTCAATTGCTAACTCGGATGGGCCAGCCCCAGGATCCCAAACTCCCCCCTTCAAGAGAAAGGGCAAACTCTCTACCATTGGCAAAATATTTAAGCCTTGGAAATGGCGGAAGAAGAAGACGAGTGAGAAATTCAGAGAAACATCAGCAGGTATGTGCATGGCCCTTTTCTGGCAAAGAGTAAAAAATAATGTAATGGCTTTGCAGAGTAATGCTTGAAAAGGTCCTGAACATAATTAGATGGGCAGGGATTTTTAGGTACAGTGTTTGACATAACCTAAAAACTGTTTGATCCTTGGCAAGGAAAAAACCTTACTCATCGTCTGTCCTGAACTTAGAACCAAAAAATATGCTTTTTATTTATTTATGATATATATTGTATATGATATTCTTTTGATGTTGACAGTACTCTTTTTTTCTTTATTAACTAAGAAACAGTAGGCTGTATGTTATGTATCCTCAGATATGTTGGAGGTGATTCTATGTTCTCCTAATAGTCAGTGACTTGAAACAAACGTTGCCTTCACGAGGACAGAAGTTTGCTGTGTTCGGAGGGGAGAAGCGGACATGGCCGTGCCCGATGGAGTCTGATCAGAAGAACGAGGATCAGCTCTGTAGTCACGAGCTTCATACAGGCCGATGGGCTCCTGCGCTTCCTTGTTGGCAAGGCTTGAAGAACAGTCTGAAATAAAACACTGTGACTGAATTACATTCCATCTGAAAAAGAGCAGATTTGAGGGCTGGGATTCAGTTGTCTAAACACAGGTGCTTTGTGCCATCTGAGATACTATGGGGTATCCCAACTGCTCTCTGGCTGCTTTTCCAGAAGGTGCTGCATCGTATTTGCCATCCCTGTGCAGGTGTCTCAGATACCCTCAGGCATCTCAAGTAGCTCTAGATGCTTATGTTTAGGAAACTGAAGCCCAGTGTGTGTGTATATGTGTGTATATATATATATATATATAGCACATATATAGTAGATATAGATGTGCTGTATATAATATATATAGCATGTATATTCTCTCTCTATATGTGTGTGTGTGTGTGTGTAGTATATAGCCCACCCTGTACATATGTGTGTGTATCTGTGTGTCACAGCTCTGGCCAAGCTTTCTCTAGAAAAATCCCAAACGTCTGTTTTGGGATTCCAACATTTGTTCTTCTAAACTGAGTCTAATTCGAGAAGCACCTATGGGCTCCTCAGATTCATTACCACAGGGCAAGTTCTTTGAGCATTGTCTTCCACAGCTCTAGGCTGTAAAACCAGTACTAATATCCTTGAGTGCCCTCAGTTGGCTCTCCTGAACTCTCAAGAGTATGCTGCTTTACATTTTAACCCTACAGCAACCCTTAACAATTACAGCAAGAAGCTCTGTGATTTTGCAGTACAAGTTCTAAAATACGTTTTATTTACAGAAAAAGCACATACCTACTGAAGTCCTGGACAGTCTTTCTGAGACCCCAAATCCTTTTCTTATTCTGCTCAGTCTCTTTTTTTTTCCCTCCCTGCGTGACCAACAACAAACTCTCCACAATTTCGTTCATACTTCAATCAAAAAGTTCCCCTCAGTCAGATATCTCCCTCATTGCTTCCATCTTCCTTCAGCTTCACCGATATCTTTATTGTACAGATCCTATGCTAGGGCAAAATTATTTCCTGTTAATGACTCCTGAGTGACTGCTGTTTCTGCAGCTGCTTTTAGACAGGTATGTGATTTGATAGGCACTGAATTCATCAAACTAATCAGAAATCATATGCTGTATATACAGAGATTCCCCAAACTGTCGTAACACATTAGCATAAATTACATTGTTATGTCATTAGAAAATGATGTGTATGTCATTTTGCAGGGTCTTTTTTTACAAATTAATATTTGGTAAATTGATGTTAAATACAGTATTTGTTATCTTATACTGTCTTTCTTCAGTGGGCAGCAATCTTACAAGAATGGCACATCAAATCCCGTAACACCAAGACAAAATATGTGTTCATATTTCTTTTACAAAAGTAAAAAATTAAGCACAAAGAAATTAAGATCAACATTTACAGAGGTGTCTGCTTAGCTACTTGCTTTTACTTAGTTTACTATCTTGTTTATGGTGGGCTAGTCCTTCAAGTCTTTTCAGGGCAATAGAGAACCCACAGTTCCCATTGGCACTCACTTCAAATGAAGGTATTCAGGATGAAGGTATCTCAAGTGGGCATCTGAAAAACTGACATGTCTTGAAGTAGATATAATGGACAGAAAACATTAGGTGATCTCAGAACTGTAATGAAGATCAAGCTTTAAAATTATTTTATAGGTATGAGTAGACAAACTTTCAGTCACAAAATAGCTTTTTCAGGTGCCGTAAAGCTACGCTCGCTGGTAAGAAAGAATGTTACCCCTCTCCCTGAACCTTGCTTCATTTATACACCTAGATTACGATCTACACCTAGATTACGTATCACCTAGGCTGCGATATGTGTATGAATAGTATTTTAGATTCTGCACCTCCAGTTTTGCCATTGTGTGCTCTCAATGCATAGTTATATTTATTACTTCTAAGAAAGAGTTAATTACTGGAGGGCAGTGTCCATCTTAACTATCTTATAATTAATTTTCAAGTGATATTAATCTGAGGGGTAATTAAATTTTTTCATTTGACATCACTTTCCAGTTCCTGATCTGTGATGCTTCTGTTTTAGTCTTTGCTTTTTTAATGCCTTCCTGGTTCTGATTTAATCAAATATAAATGATACCCAGGACGTAATGATACCTGTCTACATAATGATTAGACTTATATGTAAAAGTGTGATCCCACAAGCAGGACAGTGTCAGAGCCTGAATGCTTGTTGTTTTGCGAGACCTTAAAGATTAATGACAGGACACTTCAGTGTCTACATATTTGATATGTCTACACTGTGTTGACTGAGTGTATTCCTACTGAAACACCATTTACTTCTGCTGATGTGAGACGTTTCGTTAGTGCTTTTCAAATCCAGTCCTGTAGGGCAGTGATGAAAAGCTGCTACCATTTGAAAGATTTTTCTTCTCATAATTTGTCTTAAAGTGGCAAATGGCATTAATATTTAAAAAGTTTAAAAATTGCGTATAACGAGTCGGGGAGCCCTGAGGTCTGTTTTCGCCATAGGGAGAAGGTCTGTGGAAGAAAAGAATGGAGTGGTATAAAAGTTTAATAGGTTTCTGTAAAGGCTACTTTACAAACATATATAATTAAGCAGAGAACAATTACTTCATGAAAGCGTGTAGTTTATTCACTTAGACTGTGAATGATTAAATGATAAATATATATTTATAATTTTGCAGTATATTGTATGTTACTGTGCAAAAAGAAGTCCCAAGCCCTAAAAATGTATCAAATCAAAAATATATCATTGTATCTTAAATTCAGTAAGTCTGTGCCTAATTCCCACAGCGCTCATGAGGCTGCAGCTGGATTACTGTGTCCAGTTCGGGGCTCAGCAGTATCAAAAAAAAAACCATTGACAAACTGGAAAGAGAGCGGTGGCAGGCCACTAAGATGGATGGGTGGTTAGAGCACCTGGCGTATGGAGGACTGAGGGACCTGGCTTAGGGAGCTGCATTTGTTTAGCCTGGAGAAGGCTAAAGGGTACCTACTTGTTTTTCTTAGATATGCATAAGGGCCAAGAGGCAATGGTCACAATTTGTGACATGGCAAATTTTGATTGGAAAAAAAGTATTTGAGCTGTATAGAGAGGCTGTAGCGTCTCCATCCTTGGAGATATACAAAACTCAGCTGGGCAAAGGCCCTGAGCGCCTGACCTGATGTCAAAGCTCACCTTGCACTGAGCTAGAGTTTGAACCAGGTGAGCTGGAGAGGTCCCTTCCAGCCTATGCTGCGGTGCTGTGTTCTGCTTTTCACCTTCCAGCTACTGCAGTTCTGCATATTCTGCTCCTGGATAGAGGAAGCAGAAAGAAGATATTCACGGTGCAATTTGTCAGCTGGGTTAAGCCAATTTAAATCCATGCTGCTGCTGAAAGAATCCAGACTACCTCCCCTCCTCTCTTCCCCAGTTATCTCAGCTGTGTATGTTTCCTTCCACTGCCTCATGTGTACTGGCAGCAGTTTTGTGATGAGCAGATCACAAACCTGATTCAGCTGAAAATTAATACAGAAAAAATGTAAAAAGAAAAAGTAGTTTTTACTTCTCTATTAAGGCTGCCACACTGAAGTAGAGGGGGTACATGCAGCCACTTTTTTGGAGGACTTCTTCAAATTTTGACAACCTCCTCCTTCGTTTCAGCTGTGGTTTCACAGCACTGGCTTTCAGGTCTGGGTGGTAAACCAAGTAATAGAGACCTCCTTGTCTCTTTTGCCTGGTTAAAGTTCAGTTTTGTGATGAACTTTTTCTTCTTCAGAATGGAGAGCACCAGTGTGCAAACAGAACTCCATTGAAGTTAGGAGAATTTACACTACAAATTGGCAGCAGAGCAGCAGAGTTGATAGTGAAATTCCGTAGATCATGTAACTGGGAGCTATTTTGGTCAATTGTATACTTTTGTATACAATTGTATATTATATATTTGTGTATTGAAAAGTGGAAGTTTATTATCAGCACAAATGAAGTACCTCTGCCAATCATACAGGGCATGAGAAAATTTTGATGCAGGAGAAGGTAACGCTGTGTTAACTAACTGGACAGAAGCCCCGCTCTGAGTCCAGTCACAAGTCTTTGTATTTACTAGTTCTTTTGGCAAAAAAGCAACTAACACAATTGATTCTGCTAAGCGCCTAATGCGTCTTGTGGCAAGTATCATCTCCTATACAGGCTATAAAATTACCCTGAAAAACATTTCATTTTTTATTCTATTGTTTTGATAATGTCCTGCTAGCTTACCATATATTACATACTTAAGCTTTTGTAAAGCAAAGGCTGCTATGATATTTCATAATGTAAAAATCAGCTAATAAAACAAAGCTATTTTAATGCTCTAAGTTATATAAACTGCAGTATTTCAGTGCCTGTACAGTTTGTGAAGGGTAAATATATAAAATTAAATGCATATCTTGGTGAACAGAACCTAAAGGAAGCTTGGGAACGTCTGATGTTTTTTCATTATTCAGTAGATTGATTTTTTTTTTCCTCTAAGGGGTAGATAGGCTCTATTTTTAATAAGGTTCTAA